AATGGGCAGAAGACCTAAATAGACATTTCTCCAAAAAAGACATACAGATGGCCAAGAAGCACATGAAAAGTTGCTCAACATCACTAATAGAGAAATGCAAATCAAAACTACAATGAGGTATCACCTCACACTGGTTAGAATGGGTATCATCAGAAAATCTACAAACAACAAATGCTGGAGAGGGTGTTGAGAAAGGGATCCCTCTTGCACTGTTGGTGGGAATGTAAATTGATACAACTACTATGGAGAGCAGTATGGAGGTTCCTTAAAAAACTAAAAATAGAATTACCATATGACCCAGCATATACCCAGAGAAAACCATAATTCAAAAAGACACATACACCCCAATGTTCACTGCAGCACTATTTACAATAGCCGGATCATGGACACAACCTAAATGCCCATCGAAAGATGAATGGATAAAGATGTTGTACATATATACAATGGAATATTACTCAGCCATATAAAGGAGCGAAATTGGGTCATTTGTAGAGACGTGGACACATCTAGAGACTGTCATACAGAATGAAACAAGTCAGAAAGAGAAAAACAAATATTGTATATTAACGCATATATGTGGAACCTAGAAAATGGTACAGATGAACCGGAAATTGAGGCACAGATGTAGAGAACAAACATGTGGACACCAAGGGGGGAAAGTGGTGGGGGTGGGAGGGGGTGGTGTGATGAATTGGGAGATTGGGATTGACATGTATACACTGATGTGTATAAAATGGATGACTAATAAGAACCTGCTGTATAAAAAAATAAATTAAAAAAAGAAGTGGTAGCTACAATGCTGTCCCACTTCATGAACTATTATTTAAAAAAAAAACTATTGTGAGAGTACAATTTTTCTTTTCTTTCTGGCTTTCCTGATGATGTTTTGAACCTGTTAGAACCAGTGATCCCACAAATCATAGATCACTAGTGCCAGTGAAGGAGGTATCTGTCAACCTATCTACCTTAGAAACTACTGTAAGAACTGCTAATCTATATCGCAGAGAGTCAATGAACAAATGTTTAAACATTTTCTTTTACTTACTTGGTTTTCCTTTTGTATATCATTCAATTTATCATGATCAAAGATTTTAGGAATTATTTTTGTAGGCAGAGCAGAATAGGATGATGTGAAAGATAAAGAAATGTGGTATCTGGTTTGATGCTAGTCTTTGAATATTACTAGCTGGTGCATGAGCGTAATGGAATAAGTTCCTCTTGCCATGTGGCTAATGTAAAATGGAAAGTCAAAGTATCTGCCAGTAAGAACTTCAGAACTAAATGAATTCAATGAGGTTTAGGTCAGCAACGTTTGATCACAAATGTATCTAGTTCCTAAATGCAGGTCCACTGTCACTGGCAGATTGAGAATTTCAGAATTAGTTGAGGAACTTAAAACAAAACAAAAAAAGAGATCCCTAGGCCTCAGCCATTAGAGATTCTGATCCAGCACATGTGGGGTGAGATCCAGGAACTTGCATTTCTAAAAAGTTCCCCAGGATTTCTGATACACTGCAGGAGTTGGTGCTAGAGTCCCAAATGTATAGATGGCAACTTGTTGGTAAGGTAACAAGGTAGAGATATAAAATCACGAAATTTTAGCATTTGGAGGACTTTTAGAGAACACCAAGTTGAAACTCCCCTCTCTATTTCCAGTCAGAAAGATAAGAGTCCTGACTAGTTCACAGACACACCAGTGATGGCTAGATCTCTTGCTTTCTGGCATTTCTATGATATTACACAGGCTGCCCTCTCTTACTCTTTAGTTAACTTATCTTATAAGTCTTTAGGTAAATATATTTTAATTTGTCTACAGGCACTAATTACTTTTTCTAATTTGTTATTCCCATAGGAGTGGACAAAGTTGGAACTGACTGGATGTTTACTTAAATGTGCATTCTTGACTACAGGTCTCTTCACAGCTTCCTCAGGTCCCAGTGATCGTAAAGGACAGAGACCACAGTTTTAATATCATATCATTTCTCACAGAAGGAATGGTTGATATATGACATGTGAAAGCAGGACCACTACCAGGTGAAAGAATTATTAATAAAGCTCCTTTTCTTGGAGTCACTGAATCAGGTTAAAGCTTCCAGGTGACAGGATTCCATGAAAGAGAACTGAAAAGCTGCTTCAGGGACAAATGGAGGGAAAAAATAGTCCAACTACTGCACAGGGTGTGAGCTAATCTCACAGCTGTCACTCTGATGGTAATTTCTGCCTACTATTTATAAACTAAGACTTAAGATAAAAGTACAAGATGACAAAGTGTTCTAAACACAATTCAAAGGAAAAAGATCTAAATGCTAAAATGTGTCCAAAAGGTAAAATTTTAAAGTTTATCTTTCTAAAGTAGGACCCGTGTGCAAATACACACACACAGAAATAAAAATGAAATAAAAGACATAAAAAATTTGAGTACAGAAAGTGCTAAACTAAGATGCTATAAAAAGAAAAATTTGAATGACTTAAGTGTAAAGAGTAAAATTCTAGGACTAACAGATAAAGTTGAAAGCAAACAACAAAACTCCCCCCAAACTCCCCATAACAAATAAGTATGAGCTATGAAAAGAGCAAAAATTAAATTAAAAACCAGAAGAATTGAGAATATTAAAAATATCATTTTTCTAAACAGATGAAGCTGCTCAAGTGTCTGTCAACAGATGAATGGATAAACAAAATGTGGTATATACATATAATGGAATATTATTCAGCCACTAAAAGGAACAAACTTCCCAGATATGCTACAATACGAATGAACCTTGAAAACATTATGCTAAGTGAAATAAGCCAAACACAAAAGAATATTATATAATTCCACTTATATGAATTATCTAGAATAGGGAAATTCATAGAGACAGAAAGTAGATTAAAGGTTTCCAGGGACTCAGGAAAGCAGCAGTGGGGAGTTCTTGCTTAATGGGTATTTTCTTCAGGTGAGGACAGGGTTTTGCAAATAGTTGTAACAGCTGTACAACACTGTGATGTAATTAATGCCATTGAATTATACACTTAAAAATGGTTAAAATGGAAAATTTTGTTACCTATATCTTACTACAATAAAAAATAAGCCAAAACAGACTAAAAATATTAGTATGTAACAAAACAATTAAAACCAGAAATTAAGATATTAAAATAACAAAATACGTTACATATTGCAAGAATATCACCCCTAAACACAATTTAAGGAATCTAAGGAACATAGCAAGTATGAGGTAGGGGAGGGGTGTCAAAGAGCAGCATAAATACCTTAATCTCAAATAATTAGGATGCACATATAATTTACTATCCTAAGCAAGACACTTCTGAGAGGAAAGGGGACACTATTAATAATAACATAGGGAAAATATGTGTAGACTGAGACTGTCGGAGGCAACCCAGGATATGTGGTCATTCTACATACAAGAGCAACAGGTCCTCAAAGTTGAGGTCATGCCCACAGCTTGGGGTCTGGCCAGAGTACAATGGTCTGAAAGCATCTTCCTGAAGGACACAAGTGGTATAAAATGCAAATCGCTTTTTCGTTGTTTTTTTTTTTTACAGAGAAGTAACACAATTACATGGTCTTTACTGAAGTTTCCTAATTTGGGATTCATAAAACAATCAGCATATTATTAGACTTTTATTAAGAGCTATTATGTTAGTCTAGGAATTTTAGAAAGCCAAATTATACTTTGAATTGCACTGGCAGGCACAATAAGGAGTTCTTAAGATGAATCATTTTTTATAAATCTACATTTTTATATATTACATTAGAGCTCTATAAATATATATGTATATATTCTTTTATACATATATATATGACTACAATTAAGCCTGAATATTTAAAAAATCAAACCAGAATTACTGAGAAAATTAGTAACTGATATCCAACCCATTCTTTATTTTTAAACTAAAATTAATCTTAAAGGCCTACACATAGGTTAACTTAAACAGTCCATACCTTACATGAGAAGTTCCGACTTGGGATGTTTCTTGCTAACTCTGATATCCTGGGTTTATTCTGCAGACACTTGGTTAGGTGATATTTTTTCAATTTTATGCTATTGTAATAATGATCAGCGAAGTTACAGTGATTCACGTGCTGTTTCTGCATGCATTTCCCAAGGTGAGGAATACTATACTTCAAAGCCTGGAGAAATAATTTGCTCTTCTGCTGCATGATATCAAAGTCCCTGGTTTATGCTCCCTTTGGGGCTGCCAGCACATGAATGATTTTCATAGGAATGATTATATAGTAGTGGGTTCTTAGAGCATCTAAGATCTGCAGTTCTTATCCCTCCCCTTTGGGGCTGTGTACCCCTCCAGTTACAAATAACCGCAGACAGCTGATAACTCAAAGTATCTGAAAACTTGTAAAAGTTAAAGTTTAATTTAAATCACACTTCTTGGCAGATGTGACATAAATGTCTCATTTGTAAAGTCAATCCTGTCAGGCTCAAACAGCACTGATTCTGGTACACACATGGGCAAACTAAAACAAACAAACAGAAAACAAAAAAAACAAAATAAAAATTTGCAAATAAATACATAGACAATGGAGGCATCTCAGGAACTCTGAGGGCTTTTAAAGGCAAAACGGCTTTGATTTCACATAATTCATAACTTATCTTTGGTTTGTATGTGGAGGATAAACTGCAAAAGTCCAATTACTTAATAAAGGTAGAGGAGAAGGGATTAGTATTTATTGAGTGTTTGCTTCATGCCACATGCTTTTATATACTTCATTTAATTTAAACTTCATAGGGACCTGATAGAGTAGCTATTATGATGTTGGCCACAGGTGAGCGAACTGTGGCTCAGGAAGGTTTAAGCAACTACCCCAGGTCACCTGAACAGTAATAGTAGAGCAATAAGTCTATCTGGACATAACAACAACTTGACTTTAATGTCAAAAAGGTGTTTAGCTCTTTAGTTGAAAAAAACAAAAAACACTTCAGGAGGCACACATGAAATGTGATGCCACCTGTTTTCTGTTGGGAAGCTGGTGCTTATTAACCTATCAAGGTAAGTAAAGCTAGTAAGTAGTTAAGTCAGAGAAACCTGGGTTCAGGTCTTCATTCCTGCACTTTCCACCTGTGCTTAGTTTTATCATCTGCAAAACAGAGATAATGATCCCACTTACTCTATGAAATAGCTATTCTAAGAATGAAACAATTTATGTTAAAATCTTAATGAAGTGTCTGGCACGTAGTAACCACTCAATAAACGGTGGCTACTATTTTTAGGGCAGGAAAAATCTAGGTATGTTGCACACTGTTGAATGTCATCATGGAAGTCTTCCACAAATTGCTCCTCGGTATCAAAAGTATTATACAATAGTGCGTCAGCTTTACCACAGCTCGGATCCGCTACGACGCCCCTGCCCCTCTTAACCTCTTTCTATGTCGCAGCAAAACAACGGGGGAGTGGGTATAGGGGATGTGCAGTTGACACCAGCAAAAACAAACAAAGTAAAATAAAAGAAAATAAAATAAAGGCCCTAAACCACTACATCCGTGCCCGTAGCCTCCATCCATCCTTCACCCACTGGGAGAAGACAGTAGGCAAGTCTGGGGATAGGGGGTAGGGTAGACGAATGGGTGTTCCTGGGAGAAACCGTTCGTTTTCCCTGTGCATCCGAGTGTGAGAGGGAGCGGTACCATGTGCCACGCAATGAAGGGACATCGGTCAAAAAGCTAGGACTAAGGGACTGAGGGATGGTTGGGTGGGGGTGAGGACGGGGTGAAGGGAAGAGACTCCCAGCCTACGCCCCCCATACGTACGCAAACTGAAAGTCAGTCTCGCTCTAGACACCGAAACGAGTGAAGGCACGCCGGAGAACCCGATGCTCTCAGGAAGGAGCGCAGCTCCCACCTCACCCACGGTCAGCCGAAGTCTGCGTTCTGCAGCTAGCAAAACGACAGCCTACCCAGAACCGCCCGGAGCTGGTTTGCAGCACGCCGTCTACGTAACCGCCGTCTGGCACGAGCGCTAAGTGGATTCCGCCATCTTTATTGTGGTCAGGAATATTTTTTTTACTCCTCCTGGGTTCATTAACGCTCAAAGATATAAGCCTTTTGGTTCTTTGCTAGTCTTCAGAGCTCGAGATGAAACAGGAGAGAAGGGAACCAAAGGGGGCGGCGTCGCACTAGGTCTGCCACAGTTCCCTCACTTTCCGGCCTGCCCTCACTCAAGATGGCCACCAGCAAAATGGTGCAGTGGCGAGAGCCGCGCTGCCCTGGTTGCTAAGGAGACGCGACTACCGGAAATGCGGAATTCGGGGAGAGAGCGCGCGCTAGGGCAGTGGGAGGGAACCCCGGCGTCACAGATCCTGACAGGGAAGAAGTAGGCAGGTCCTGGCAGGGGGGAGTTGTGGCGGCGGTATCTCGCCAGCTGCAGCCGATGGAGTCTCGAGTCGCGGACGCAGGGGCCGGCCAGGCTCAGCGCGCAGCGGGCGAGGGCCGGACAAGCAGCAGCGCCGCTCAGGGACCCGCAATCTCGGCGCCCTTGGGTGCTGCCCGGTGGAAGCTCCTGCGGCAGGTAAGGTAGAGCCCTCTCGACCCACTTTTGCCTTTGGCCACTCCCCTCGCAAGCGACAGGCAGCTACTCTCCCCTTGGCAGCTCTGGGAGTTCCCTCACAGTTTTGCTGGGAGCCTCCTGAAAAGCGCCTCCTTGGTTCACCTAAGGGTCGCGCCAAAAGGAGGTATCAGGTGGCATTGGGCAGGGACGGGGCAGCCGAGGCTGAGTCCTGGGAAACTCAGCTCGAAGGAGAAGATCCCTTTCTAGACATTAGTCTGCGTCTGAGGGACTTTTCTCCTTGCTCGCCAGTAGGGTCGGTGGGACCGCCGCTCCCCAGTCCATACTGTTCTTTCCTGCTTCTGTTTTACTTTCTTCCCCTGGTTTCTTCCCCTTGCTTCTTAACTCCTAGCCTGATTCTAGCTCCAAATCAGTCCCCTCTCTTGGTGATCGGCATGGTTGACTGTGTTGGGACAGTGACGTTGCACGTGTTGCTTCGGTTTCTTTCGTGGAGCGGAGAGCGAAGGGAGTTGCAAGAGCTGCCCCGGCGCCCTCCCGCTTCGCTTTCACTCGAAAGTTACATGTTTATCTTATGGTTTGAAGAGATCAGAGAGATTCTCGGTGTCTTAAGTATGTTGATTTTTTTACTGGCGGTTATCTTTTAGCACTTAAAAGTTGCTACTGTTGCTGGTAATTTCAGTCGTGTGCAGGTTTGAAGATTTTCTGATTTGACGACACTGACGCTCTTTCCAAACTGTTTGAAGTGAAATCTGTTTATTGTTTACATCCCAGTGTTATGCTTCTGCCTGGGGTGTCCTGCCGAACACTATTCAACAGGACATTTTCCACTTCTGACTTATATTTCGAGGAGAGTTTCCCAGCTATTGCCAGGTTACTTGAGATTGTGCTTTTGGTATTTTGGCGGTTACTTTGTTTGCAATTGTCTCGAGTCACCTTTTCATACAGTGGCCTTTCAGTGCTGTCATGACACAACTCAAAGATCATTTGTTTGCTGATGCATTGAAAGCCTTTGCAGGGCATTAATGATCTGGTTTTGCAATTAATGTTAAAAATGGTATTATAGGATAATAAAATGCAAGTCCTCATAGATCATTATCTATAGGAAATTTCTATAGTGAAGTAAACATCAACTAAATTTAAAGTATCAGAATAGTAAAGTAGGGCCTTAAAATGATCAATCAAATCTTATCGTGACGACTTCAGTAATTCCTAGTAAAAATTCTAGTTGACCATCTCTTATATTCATTCTGAATTGTTGTCTACATTAGAATAAGGATAAGTTTCAGCTATGGCTGACATTTGAACTCCTCACATGCTTTGAAGTTTAATGTTTTGGTATACATGTGCCCTCTGTTTAGAGTCTTTCTACTTCTCTACTTGATGAATGACTGTTATCCTTCAGACCTCTATATCAATCTCCTCTTACGTGAAGGCTCTGCTGACTCCTCTGGCTGAGTTAGACCTTCAGCTCACTATATGGGTGAACCTCATATCACATTATTTTATGATCATTTGATCAGAGTCCAACTTTCTCACTACAATAGGAGTTCTTCCTGGGAAAAGGTGATATTTTATTAATCTCCATCTCCTGCACTGGCTCTCGCTAGTTGATTTTTAGTAGATACTGTTACATGTTGTGGAAAGCCTGAGTAAGGACAGTCTTTAAGTGGCCCACAGCATCTCATCCTCAGTGTACTGTATCAGTGAGTAACAAATAACTACACTGTCACAACTGCATTCAACAGTGAGCATTTATTCTGTTTGTGGGCCACCTGGGAGTTGACTGACATAGGCTGTGATCAGCTGAGTGGCTCTATGCTGCATGCTTGGTCCACATGCCTCTAATTCTGGGCTGACATGTTCTCATAGTGACGACAGAGGTATAAGAGAGCAAACGCAACCACTGAAACACATTTTAAGCACCTACTAATATCCTGTTGGCCAAAGTAAGATACTTAGCCAAGCCTAAAGTTAGGAGGCAGAGAAGTATGTTTTTTTCTTTGAGGGAGCAGGGGAGAAAGTGAATATTTTTCTATAATAATCGAATCTTCCATGTATTTTAAACATTTGCAGGCTCTTAGTAAATATGTTTTAAATGAATGGACCATTTGCATCTTGTTAGCATCCAACTGGAAAACTGTGAGGAATCTAAACAATGCTAAAGATATGCAATTCTTTTTCTCTCTCTTATGTGACATCTTCATGACATCTGCTATGTCTCCTTGTTTTCTCCCTCACAATTCTCTTTCCACTAGGGCTCCAGTGCTATCTCATGGCCCTTCACCTTAACTGTTCAATATTTTCTATGTTTTATAATTAACATTTTTGAGAGAAAACCTGGTTGACCTAGTTCATCATTTGATACTAGGTCACATTGCTCTTGGGTGGCCTCAGCCTGCAGTGGCTTGAAGCAGGATTTTGGTTCATGGCCAGAGACTGAGGTTGGGCCGTGGCAGTGAGAGTGCTGAATCTTAGCCACTAGACCACAAGGGACCAGTGGCCAGTGACAAGGCCCTGGCCCATCAGCTGTTGTAGAAGTGAATTTCCACATAGAGATGGAAAGTAGTGAAACAAGTGTTTATTAGGAGGAAAAGAGTACCTGTGGATAGACACATGGGCGAGCTCAGAGAGAGAGTTGTGTCCTCGTGGTAGTTTGAATCACTTTTATGGGGCATTTCTTCTGGGTTTCCTTTGGCCAATCATCTTGCTTTGCCTGGTTCTGAGTCCATATCGGTATATCTCAGGGTCCTCCCATGTGTGTGTGCGTGCATCTCTTAGCCAAGATGGATTCCAGCGAAGAGGTGTATGGGTAGGATGGCATCACTTACTATGGGGTAGCACCCCCTCCCTTTTTGACCTTCAGAGAGCCTTTCTGTGTGTGTGTAGTGGAGAAGGTCTCCTTGACTTCAAGAATGAGGAATATGTGGTCTTTTATCTCTTATCTGGGCAGGGCTTAGCTCTTCTCCCTCCTGCTATTTTGGAGTATCTGTCCACAGGGGATGAACTCTGGCTCCTCACCCTGGGGCCCATCTATCTCCTGCCTCAACATGGAAAATTGCTGACTTTTGAGTCTAGTGCCCACTTTAATCATATGAGGTCTGAAAGTCTATGGATCAATATCAATAGAGGCTGTGGATATTCCGTAATATTTTTCTCTTTGTTGTGTCTCATTACCTGATGGCAAAGATAGCTGTTGGCAACTTCATCATCCACCCAGCTAGTGATCCAGAAGAAATAACCCTTTTCCCCAACACCCAAATCATTTCCTCCAAAGAACTCTAAGAGGCGAAGTTTGCACCAACTGCTGTGTCTAGGAGACTAGTGCACTTTGGCCTGCGTCATGAGCCCACCCTGTGGCAGGGAAAATAACAACCCTACCATTATTGCATAGGGAGGGGGAGGGGCATTTCCCAAGGGGAAGGGATGTAGAGCAGATGAAAAAGTAGCAAATGACCATTACATGCTTACACACATCTCACAACCACCTACAGAATGAATAATGGGGCCTAGAGGTCTGAATACTTGGCTGAAGAATCTGATTAATGGAATATTTCACAGTACAATTTATTTTTATTTTTTTAATTAAAAAATTTTTTATTTTTGTAGTTTTTTGGCTGTGCCTCGCGACGTGTGGGATCTTAGTTCCCCAACCAGGGATCGAAACTGTGCCCCCTGCATTGGAAGCGCAGAGTCTTAACCACTGGACTGCCAGGGAAGTCCCTCACAGTACAATTTAAATTAAAGCAGGATGATATATGTTTGAGACTGTCAATGCGGAAAAAGACAGCATGATTTCTGGAATAGAATTTCATACAATTGATTTTAGTCCCAGATCTACCACCCTTAACTATTTGTATGATGGTGAGCACCCTCTTTGGACCTCAGTTTTCTCATTTGTAAATGAGAGAGTGGGACTAGATTTCTTTAAGACCTTCTTCCTAATAATTATTATTCCATTAGTTTTTGTAATATTTAATTCATGACAATATCAACAGGTGGTATAAAAAAGCTTGTGAAGAAGGACAGTTAACTTGGCAAGCAACTCAACAGGGAAGGGCAGGATTGTGCACTGGCACTATTCAGTTCACATGGTCCAGTCTGAATATTTAATAGAGGGAATGGAGAGTGTTTGTTAATCCAGAGAATCAGTTACTAGAGATGTACTGTATTTTGTGCTCTTTTTAGGCCTTCTGATTCCATTGTAGAAAATGGCAGACAGGCACCAAGAGAGCATGTCTTAAGAATGGTTGTGTGATGTGCTTGTAGATCTTGCACTGAGGGTTGTGGTTTAGATCCCTACATAAGTGAAGAATTGAGGGATGGACTCTTCATTGGTTTTTATTGGCATCACTTGGATCACTTTCTGCAGCAGGGGCTGAGCAAGGTCATTCGTGCTTTTTCACTCTTTTTTTTTT